TTTTGTCCAAATCTCGCCTTTGGTCGCCCATGGGTAAAATTTTGCGAAAAAGTCCTGAGGGGCACCAAAGGCGAGATTTGGACAAAAAATATAATGCGATCTTTACCGGGTGAATCGCTCTACAATCGCACACGAGTTTTCTCGCGTTTTCTTGTGTTTTTCACGTTCCACAACTTTAACCAGAAATAGCGCGTTAAATATTCCTCAAATTTGAGCGCATTATATGTGCCCATTTTTACCCGTATAAACGGCACAGAAATGATGTGCTACTTTTTCCGTTAATGTTCCATAACTGTTCATAAGCAACATTGAGAAAAGATCTTGGGACTAAACTTTTAGCTCAAGTCAAGAACTCTTGCTGTTCGCTCTCTTGTTGCCTCGATGTGACATCTTCTTCTTCTCGTATTCATCTCATGCCTTGGATCCTGGACACATACACACCTATATATGTCGGAGTTCTCTCTCGTTTCTCGGATCTGAGTGAAGTGTGCTCGATTGCACGCGAGTGTGTGTGTGTGTTCTTTGAAGGAAAATAAAGGGAGAAAGCCATCGGTCGAACATCATCATCTTCATCATTATCAGTAGCTCTACTATATTTTTCCCCCTCTAATAGAAGGTGCCGCTGATTTCTCCTCCACCAACAGCAGACGGGGTATCCTGCAAAATTTCCGTCTCGTCTGGCTGGATACCAACCTCGACGAATCCAACGCAGACTTTAAGCACTCACTTACTCAACTTCGACAAGTTGTCAATACCATCGATACATTCACCAATAGTGATCAATGTGTCGATTTTCTCAGAGACATCAAACACAAAAAGGCATTCATGGTTGTGTCAGATGCTCTTGCACAACAGCTCGTCCGCGACATATCTAAGCTCTACTCTATATATATATTTTGTGAGCACATTTCGCAACATGAAGTGTGGACGAACGCGTGGGCAAAAGTGAAAGGAGTTTTCACTCGGATCGAATCCATTTGTGACTCACTCGAACAAGACACTAAACAGTGTGATTACGCTTCGACTCCAATCAGTATCATCTCTCCAAATGATTGCTCAAAACGAGAATTGAACGAACTCGAACCATTGTTTATGTACTCACTAATACTAAAAGACATTTTATTAGATTTCGAACACGACGAACAAGCAAAGCGAGAACTGATTCTACTCCTTCGCGAGCAATATCATGATAATGAGCGCCAGTTGAGAATCATAGATAAGTTCGAGCATGATTATGATCATCATTCGGCCATTTCGTGGTACACACGAGAGGTTTTTATCTATTCAACGCTTAATCGAGCCCTTAGAAATATGGAGGTTGATATTCTGCTCAGGATGTGTTTCTTCTTACGCGACCTTCATCGACAGATCGAACAGCTGCACGTCCAACAGTCGGACACGCGTGTCCCGCTCACTGTCTTTCGAGGACAAGAGATGCTCAATAATGAATTTGAGAAGCTACGCAACAGTAAAGGTGGTCTATTGCCATTTAACAACTTTTTATCCACCAGTACCAATCCGCTAGTGTCATCAATGTTTTCTTCAGATCCACCCCACGACCCCAGCATGACCGCGATTCGCTTTAAAATGATAATCGATTCTGCTCTCACATCTCCTCCATTTGCCTCCTTGGACGACTTGAGTAGCTTCAACGATGAAAAGGAGATTTTATTCTCAATGCACACTGTATTTCGAATCGATGAAATTGAGCAAATCAAAGATCGACTCTGGCAGGTGGGACTGACATTGACCAGTGACGCCGACGACCAAGAACTCAAAACACTCACTGAGTACACGCGAAAAGAGACATCGGGGATAACAGGATGGCACAGACTGGCTAAACTGCTGCTCAGAATGGGAAAATTCGAAAACGCTGAACGACTATATCAAACACTACTCAAACGTACAGCTAAAGACGATGAAAAAGAGCTTCCTTTTCTCTATCATATGCTTGGATATGTAAAAAGCCAGAAAGGGGACTATAAAGAAGCACTCGCGTTCTATCAAAAGGCAATTGAAATTCGAGAAAAGTATCTCCCTCCGAATCATCCAGATTTGGCTACTACTTACAACAACATCGGATGCATGCATATAAAACTGGGAGAAAACTCCAAAGCACTCGAGTTCTATCACAAGGCACTGGAAATCCGAAAAGCATCTCTCCCTCAGGATCACCTTGATTTGGCTCAAACCTACAATAACATCGGTTTGGCGCATTACAACATGGGAGACTACTCCAAGGCACTCCAGTTCTATCAAACGACCCTTGAAATCGGACAAAAATCTCTCCCTCAGAATCACCCCCATTTGGCTATTACGTGTAACAACATCGGTCTGGTCCATAACAGCATAGCAGGGTACTCGAAAGCACTCCAGTTCTTTCAAAAGACACTTGAAATCCGAGAGAGGTCCCTTCCTCCGATCATCCAGATTTAGCCAATGCTTATAACAACATCGGAGAAGTGCATGGGAACATGGGAGATTACTCGAAAGCACTCGGGTTCTATGAAAAGTCACTTGAAATTCAAAAACAAACTCTTCCTCCGAATCACCCACATTGGCTACTACGTATAGCAACATCGGCTCGGTGAATTACAACATGGGAGCCTACTCGAAAGCACTGCAGTTCTATGAAAAGTCACTTGAAATTCAAAAACAAACTCTTCCTCCCAATCATCCAGATTTAGCTACTACTTACAGCAATATCGGCTTGGTGAATTACAACATAGGAGACTGTTCGAAAGCCCTGGAGTTCTATCAAAAGACAGTTGAAATTCGAAATGAATCTCTCCCTTCGAATCATCCCGATTTAGCTACTACTTACGTCAACACCGGAGAACTGCATAAAAACATGGGAGACTATTCAAAAGCACTCGAGTACTATCAAAAGGCACTTGAAATCCAAAAGCAAACTCTTCATCAGAATCACCCGTACTTGGCTATTACTTACAGCCACATTGCCTCAGTGAATGACAAAATAGGAGACTACTCGCGAGCACTCGAATTGTATCAAAAGACACATGAAATCCAAAAAAGATCTATCCCTCCAAATCATCCACATTTGGCTACCACTTCCAACAGCATCGGAGATGTGCATAGGAACATGGGAGACTACTCGAAAGCACTCGGCTTCTATGAAAAGTCACTTGAAATTCAAAAACAAACTCTTCCTCCGACTCACCCACATTTGGCTACCACGTACAGCAACATCGGCTCGGTGAATTACAACATGGGAGACTATTTGGAAGCGCTGGAATTCTATCAAAAGTCACTTGAAATCAGACAAAAATCTCTCCCTCCTAATCACCCATTTCTGGCTAGTACATACAACAATATTACTTTTGTACATCAAAAGATAGCAGGGTCCTCGAGTTCTTTCATAAGACACTTGAAATCCAGAAACAAACTCTTCCTTCGAATCACCCACATTTAGCTATCACTTACAACAACATCGCTTCTGTGCATCATAACATGGGAGAGTACAAGCATTGTATACAAGCATTTGGAACTACACGAGAGGGTAGAAAGAGTGAGTGTTTTCCGTCAGTAGTTGGTTTCGTTTTACTCGCGTACGTCAAGCATTCGTTATCATTCACAAATAACCGAAGTATATTAGGAATTTCGCTTGTTAGCCATTCGTGCATATTGGACGGATCAAGAAGAATAAGGGACTATGCGCATTTTGCGTCATCGCTTGGGAGTAGAATCGACTGTGCGGGAGAACGAGAACGATCTGGTCGATCCATCAGCTGGTCGCCATTGGCCATTTAAGAAAAGACTTGTCGATGTAGACCCTTCCGAGAAACTCTAATGAAGGTTTTCCTGTATGCGCCCCAAAGCTATGACATCAGCATCCAGAAGCATGTTCCTCGATGTACGATGGCATGTCCACTCTCTTGCGGAAGAATGTCGAGTTTACTAGACATCTAGACATCTAACCATGCGGGCTGATGGGATCACATTTTTAATTACGTCTCTGTTCGTTTTCGAGTGAATCAACAAATTCAAAAACGCAAAAGAAACACTTATGAGTTTTTCCGAGATCTTTGGTTTTATAAACAACTAAGACCTAATTGAAAAGCTGGCTCCCATTAGCTCACGTATAACTGTTAAAAAAAAAATTAGCTTTCTACGATCTTTCATTATGAAGAAATCTTACAATTATGAAATGCTACGAAGAGAACAGTCGCTTTACCGAAAAGAAAGAAAAAAAGGAAAAGTATAGGTTTTGATGCTCTTAGAAAAGTACTCATAACTTTTGACTAGAGTATCGCAGAGACCCCATCAACATCTCATTTTGAGGACAAATGTTTTCCTGATAATAACATCAGGGAATTTTATCGAGATTTGAGGAGAATGAAGATTTTCAAAAACCTTACCTTTTGGGTGTTCCAGAAAACTTTTTCGAAATCCCTCAAGAACCATAGATATATGATTTTTTAGGTTGAATTTTTAAAGCAGATACCAAGGGCTGTCTAAGCGCATGTATAACTTTATATCGCAACTTTTACAGAAAATTCAAATTTCGGAGGGAACCCCTTAATGCCATCACCATGAATTGAGATGGTTAGTAGCAGACGACATTTAATGACTGGAGGTGGCCAGAAAGTAGCGGGTTACTCGAAAGCGTGATGACGTGATATCGGCGCAGTTCCTAATTCGACAATCATCTCGAATCGTGCTTGCGCTTGCCATGACAGATAAATCTAAAACACAAAAACAAGAAAGCACAGCAACAGTAGATGTTTGAAATAAAGATTGCTTGAAATAACGAAGCATAATGGAATAGCTTAAGCCTTCGTTTTGCAATAAACTTTTAATTATATGATGTGAAACACAATCCAGAAGCCTACATACATATTTTAAGCATCATACACTTTTCATCGCATCATACTCTCTAAAAAAACCATTTTCAAAAACTGTTTTTATGTTTCGATAATACCGTTTTTTTCCACACTGGTTCCTGAACAACATCAGAAATCTTTGATGGTGTGATCAAACTATTTTTTCTTCTTATTCATTTCAACATATTTGGCCAGTTTTCGATAGATTTCCATTCCTTGTTGATAACAAGTCCGTGCTTTGGCAGCATCGTGCTCTTCACAGTATTTGTCTCCAAGCTTTTTGTACTCTAGTGCGATATCGGCTGCGGCCGTTGAGATTAGCAAAGTTTCATTTTTAAATATGCCCGTCACTTTGGGATAATTTTCGAAGATAAGCTCATTCGCACACAATATATAAACTAAACCGACTTGATAAACCGAGGACAAAAGTTGCGCTGGAACGTAATGATTAGTTGAAATAATTAATAAAATTCTTTTTTTTTGCGTCTGGTTTATAAACTGTAGACAATTGTTTGTATTATCAAAATACTTGGGACAAATGCCAACAGTTTGTGCTATGTCTAGCATTCTTTGGGGCGCTTCTCCCTGCAAATTCAGCCATACAGAACATATTGCATCAACATTACTGACTGAATTGTTCAATTCTAGAACTATAGATTCATCTTTTATTCTGTCTGCAGTTGATCGTTTGCCGTATAATTCGGGTTCATCCGGATGTCTGTCGTAAAATAGTGTTTTGAGCTCCTGTATATTATCGATAAGAACTTCAATCCATTCCCGACATTCTTTCTCTTCCTGACGACTCACATGAACTTTTTCTATCAAGTATGTTTTGACATCCTGAGCCAGTTTAGCCAACAGAACTTGATCATCATAATATATACCGCCCTCCAGCACATGCATATTTTCGATGAACATCTCAGCGTATTTCACTGGATCGAAACAAAATAAATAGATAGAAATCAGTTCGGCTGTTGTTGGTAGTATCGTCAAAATATGTTCGAATAATTTACCTTGTACAATTAAAAATATTTTTTTAAAATTATTTTCGCGAATGAACTTGTGGCATTTGATTATACTATTGAAAAAATAGACAATAGTTCCAACAGTCTCTGGAAATTTTTTCTTCAAATCTTCACATGCGCCTGGTTTACCGATGTCTTCATCGAGCCAAATGATGAGAACTTTACTTTTAGAAATATTAACCACATGAGAGTAAACTGAAGTGGCCATGACTATAAGCAATATCAGTCAGAAATTCTGACTGAAACAAATTTTAGAAAAAAAATTATAAATTAAATTTTCGTTCAATATCAAACAATGACTCTAAAATCAGAAAAAATTCCAAAAATAAGAAAATAAGAAACGAGGCAGAAAGAAGTCTCAAAATAAGATTTTTTCTGCTAAAATCAGACGATCTCTGAGACCTAGTCAGCATAATCCTCGATTTACTCATTCATTTTCTCACCTGCTTATATGGTTTGGTTGATAAAGATAGTGTGTCGTATTTCTTGTTACGAAGGAGCAATAAAAAGAGAGAAACACGCGTTAAAAATCATGGGTTATGTGAAAAAATCTGCTTTCCTTTCGTCTCACTTTGACTACAAATAAAACACGGTTTTTCTTTCTCTTTTGAGAACAACTGAGTTCAGTTCACATTCTTGTACACTAAACAATTAATAGCTTCTTTCTGTTTCTTCTGTTTCACTACTTATATTTTATTTCTCTTCGTTTTGTCACAAATATACGACGTATAGTACATATATTCTCTCGTCAGCTGCGTTANATAGAAATAACTATATAATTTATATACTTTATATAAACAACGTGAACACAAGTGTGCACGCGCTCCCTTGACTGTAAAGTCTTTATCGTTACTGTAGCTTAGAGTTAACCTAAGACACAGAACAAGTGTCTTCGTTTCTACTCTGCACTAAAAAATTTCTCTTCAGAGTAAGTTGTAAGATCATTCGGCGACAGCTTAGGCCGTTATTTGACAGTAGTATATCTACTCTAACGTTACTCACGAGGGAACCTCCTGAGGTGCTAAAACCTTTTTGAATGGGACTATTTTTAAAATATAGGCCCTTATGAGCTATGAAGCACCCCAACTTGGTTCTGGTGGAATCAGCTTTCTTGCTGAGATATCGAATTTTCCCCACGGGACCTGGATTTCAAGCAAAAACAGAGTTTTAAATTTCATGTTGCAACGTATCACATATTGTAGCCCAGACTAATGTAGTCCGATGAAAAAAGGCCGACGTGAAAATCTCT